TAGTCCCATCTATTTATCTTTGCCTTCACTATTGTGGCGTTGGGTGCTCTGTCTTTAAAGAGGTCGCTGAAGTGTATGTTGTGTAGTGTTTGACCCATCTTTGCTTCTAGGTATTTTATGGTTTCCGTTCTTATGTCTAGGTCTTTAATCCACTTCGTCAACTCTTGCCTATTTTAACAATACCTCACTGCTGAGATATTTTTCTCACCTTCTTCTCCTTGGAGTTTTTTCCTTTTTCATTGCCAAAAAATTAGGTAACCAGACTTCAAAGTAAGAGTATGTGAGGGTTTTCCCACTTTACTTTTAGGTTGTCGGCTTTTTTGTGAAGAATTGAAGTTTGTGTTTTTTTTTTTTTTCAAGATTTATTTATTTACTCATGCAGAGCTGGGGTACAAACCAGAGGTACAGGGGTTATTAGAAGCTTCACCAGAGAGTGGGTAGCAGAACAGGCAGATCGACAAAGTACACTGATGAGGGGAGCAGTGGGCGGATCAGGAGAGGTCTGCCACGTGCCGTGTGGTCACCTCCAGGGCAGGGGATCGAACTCTCACTGAAGCGGTTGCACCAACTTGCAGTGCTGCATCCTAAACCATTGTACCACCAGGGAAGGCCGTGAACAGTTGAATTTTTAAGTAATTTGTGGAAACTAGTTTCTGACCTCCTTCAGGCACAGATTTACTGCATTATTTATGTTCTTTATCCATGTACATATTAAGTGTTCAACAAAAATTGATATTTTAATGTTACTATATTCTCATAGCCTAATATTTTGTTACATCTTAATTTCACAGACTAGAAGGCAAGTTGCTGTAAAAAAAACCTCTGCAGATGCAAGTGAATACTATGAAAATTACATTGAAATGCTAAAGAAACAAGGATTTCTTCTAAAAGAACATTTTACACCTGAAGCAACCCAATTAGCTTCTGAGAAGTTGCAAGCAGTAAGACTGATTTGAACATATCATTTTGTGTTAGTGATTGAATGTTCCTAGTAGACATGTTTTTTCTATGACAAAACCTGTTAGGAAAGAAGAGTAGGATCAAATAAAAGAAATGGTAAGCCCATAGAAAGGCATGAAAGCTGGGTGGAAATAAGTTCCATGACAGGTCTCAAACCTTATCATTTATTTCAGCAACAGTTCTCATAGCTTGCAGAAGGTTTGATTACAACCTAGACCTAGGAGCTGGAAGTTCTCAACCCTTAATGCTTAATCATTAATGTCATTGGTAGACCTAAAGTTATATAATGAAGAAAAGGAAAGGTAAGATGGGAGTAAAATAGAAGAGGTAAGGGAAGAGTACAGGAGGGGAGAAGGGTGGAGAGGCAAGCAGAGAGCAGGTCCAGAATGTCAACACTTAATTGTTGGATGGTTATTCACTCCCAGGCCAATTACTCTTTATTTTTCTTCACACCTCTGTTCAGCTCATAAAAAGTTTTTGTGGGTGTTATTTTGTTATTGCAGTTGCTTTTGGAGGAGGTAATAAGTTCAAGCACTCTGAGCCAAGAGGTGAGCAATTTGGTGGAGATGATTTGGGCAGAAGCTCTCGGTCACTTGGAACATACGCTTCTTAACCCTGTGAACACCATTAGTCTTAATGATGTAAGTCAAACTTGTCTTTTAAACAGGACCTTTTCTAGGACAAGCCTTCTGGATTTCTTAAACTGAATAGTACTCATTATACCAACATTACCACAGTAAAAATTTATTAATAAAATTAGCCAAAAATAATACCACTTATGTTTGAGTGCTGGCCCAGTTGCTCTTAGATTCATCCCTGGCTGTTCTTTCTTTTTTCACCTGGGGAAAGAGAACACCAAGAAAGAACACTGAGTGGGAAATCAACTTCCCAGAAAAGTAGATATTCCTATGTGGAAAATTTCAAACACAGGATCTACTCAAAGGTTGGTTTCTTTGTGCATCTTATTTGGAGGCCTGCTTCTCTGTATCAGCAAGTTTGTAGCAGGCCTGAAATACATGTGTGGCCCTGGTTCTTGGATAGTTAGATCCTACTCTACTTTATAGCAACTGCTTCAGAGACTTATATCACTGACTGACTCAGGGAAAGGCAGGCATGCTTCCAGCCCTACAGAAAATGCTCTCATCTTCTTAATTACATATAACTGAAAGAGCAAATGCAAGAAAATATTCCCAATGGTTCAATTTGTACAACATCATCCTACTAAAACAATTTTCCCCTATAGAATTAAACTAATTTATTTCAGAAAGAAAATTTTTTCCTGGGGTAAAGCCCAAAAAGTACTTGACTTATAATTAGAGTCATGTTCTGGAGGGTTCTGTTTCTACCTTGACTTTAACATACATTTAAATTTCTTTTTGAAAATCAAGTCTACTCCAGTTGTATTTAGTATTCCTGTGTGTGGAGATCAGTATAGGTAGGTGTAGATGTATGGATAATAGAGAAAGTGATATGGATGTAGATACAGACATAGATGAAATAGATATAAATATAGACATAGACTTCATGGAACTTTTCCTCTAGTTATCCCAAACCCAGTTTGGAGGACTCCTCATGACATCATCATCATAATTAAGCTGCATCTCTGGAAAATACCATCATCTGTTTTATGGTCATTGTCCAGTAGATAACAAATAGTGTAACATGTTAACAATTATTTTAGAACTCGTATTTTATATTTCTCTTCACTTTTCCTATGATTATCAAGATTTGATCTTACTGAATCTAAATCACCTTCTGTTTAAAGGTGAGCAAGGCAGAGGCAATTCTCCTTCTAGCAAAGACAGCACTGAAAAATGGAGAAACAGAAGAAAAATTACAAAAGATCATGACTGAATTCTATAGATTGATACCACACAAAGGTCCAAAAGTTGAAGAAGTTAACCTGAGACTGTTGGCTAAGAAGGAGGATCTCTGCCAGGTAAATCTCTAAATACAGAATTCAGTTTAAAGTGTTTTTTGGGGAAAGGTCTTTACAAATCATATGAATAAGGTAACACTGAATCCAAAAGTTGTCTCTAGAGTTTGCACACAAATATACATTATTGAATTATTCTAGAATGTTTTGGGTCTTTTTGGAAGTTATCTGAACCATATTGCCAAACAAATAAATTGGAATAGTAGTATAAATGCAGTTTGTTTGGGATCACTACACTGTAGTTTAATTTTCCAGATCATGCAGATTCTTTCTGTAGAAGAAATAGAAAGCTACATGGCTTCACAGTTAGCACATTTACCCCTTCTATAACAAGTGGTCTAGTTGTGTGCTCCACATCACTTACAAACAGCTTGATCACCCTACGCAAGTCCCAGCTTTTCTTATCTCTGTGCTCCTTGTAAAGTGACAGCTTCCGTCTCAGTTTTGCTCTCTTACCGTCACATTCAGTGCAGTAGTTCATAGTGTGCCATTTGGAATATTTCTGTTTGTGTATCTTAGGGAGAACCCCTGACAATTATTTATTTATTTTGGTCAGAATTGAACCAAGTGGGTAGTCCTAAGCCAGTCACTGTCAAGACAAACTGTGAGGGAAGGAGCAGGGCTTAATTAGCAAAGAGGAAGACAGTCAGCATACCCCTTCCCTTAGGGGAGGATGGCATCACTCCAACTCTAAATTGCCTCATCCATGCCTGAAGAGATTGAGACAACATAAAGATCTATGACACAGGCATCAGAGGAGTTTACGGATATGTAGTTCTGCATTTGGGGGAGATGATAACTTTAAGTGGTTTCTAAACTAAGTGAAGGACAAGTAAGTGAGTTGATAAAGGACCTTCCAAATTTTTTTTTTAAGATTTATTTTTATTTATCTATGCATACAAGAACTGTGGGGATGGGACAGGATTCACCAGAGACAGAGTAGGAGCAAAATAGGTAGATCCGGCCCTCCCTGGTGGCGCAGCGGGTTAAAGCACAGCACTGGGAGTCTGAAGCCACTTCCGCATGAGTTCGATTCCCGCCTGCCGCCTGCCCCGG